GCTTGTTGGTCGGTCGTGCCTTTCTCCCACATCACTTGCTGATTTATGGAGTGCTGGAAACAAGCTGTAAAAGATAACCTCCATCAAGTTGGAAAGGAAGTGCTGAATGTCGACCGTGGCAAAGAAACCGTCAAGGGTGGATTAAAAAACATTCTACAAAAGGCCGTCAAACCTGCTTTGAAATCCAGTAGTAAGCGAGTGATTATAGGAACCAGACGGTGATTGGCTGAGACGTATCACGTGACTAAATGTGACGTAGTAGTTTTGGCGACCTTCTTAGAATAGCCTGCGACGAACTCGGTGAAGCCTTTCACGGATTCTGGCTAACAGCTCTGGATCGATTCTCCTCCGTCGCGGTGTCTCGTTCATCGCCGACTCTTCTAAAAGGTAGGTGTCCTCTGGTGTCATGATGACAGTTTTACCATTACGGGTAAATACTTTAATAGGCCTGTCATCCACTTCCAAGATTTGGACAACAATGATAGGTTCGGTTGCCATGTTACAAATGACTGGCCAAAGACAAGTGACTGCGCTTTTTACACGGGAAACTGGAAAAAAGGGCTTTGGATTGGATAAAAAAGATCACGTGGTATTTATTTTTTAAACTTTAATTAATTCAACTTAAATCCATTAACTCTACCATATTGTCATTCATAAATCCTAAACATGTTTCGCCATCTTCAAAAAACAAACAAGGAAAATGGTGATGGGCCCAAGCATGGACTAAACAATCGTTTTCGGTCAGATTAGATTGGAACACCGATAAAGCACGGGGTGACGGTACGTGGAATTTATGCCACAAATAAAAGAAACAATAATGCCCACAGACAGAACTTTGATTTCCTTGAATCCTCTGGGTATTGTGACGTAAGGGTCCTTGACGCCGCGCAAAGTCGACAAAATCTTGGCCATACACTTCTGGGGAACATCCAAACGAGTCGAAGAAATCACAATGGTCTTTTTCGCATACAAAAACTGTCCAATGTTTTCCAGGCTGGCCTGCGTCGTCGGTATTCACGACATACGCTGAGGGATAGCGTGTTGGCTGTAAGGTTTGTAATTGATTTCTGGCTAACACGCCTGCAAATTGTTCAGGGATGTGGCAAGCCAATCCTTCCTCCAACTGTGAAGTATACAGAGGTTTACCAATCCACCAGAACTTGGCGGTTGACGTCGATTTCCAAGACATTATCGTATTCGGCAAATAATAGCAAATCGAGTGGATTTTGTGGAGTATTTTCGATTCCAAAGACAAACTTCCTGACGACTTGGGATGAAAATTGGCTTGATCAGCTCCGTGGTCATTGGTCAAATCCAAAGAGTGTGTAGCCTTTAATATAGTCGTTGTAACACAAATGCAAATCTTCCTTAGTATTTAATATTCCCAATCTTTTCAAATCAAATCTAAATAGGGAGTCGTGGCTTGTTGATGTGTAAAATGGGTGAAATATTCACCCACCACATCACCATTTTGGTTGCTGTCTTTCCAATTGGATGCGAACGTCGACCCCGTTCACTAAAAAACGATCTTGTAAACACAAATTCATGTGCAGCCGGGATTGAATTTCAAACACTGAACTTTCACCCATTCGTTTTCTTCTGGCTCCCAACGCTTGGTTTACGACGGGTACGACAGCATCATCGGCACCGGTTTCAACGGCTTGTTGGTCGGTCGTGTCTTTCTCCCACATCACTTGCTGATTTATGGAGTGCTGGAAACAAGCTGTAAAGATAACCTCCCCCAAGTTGAAAAGGAAGTGCTGATTGTCGACCGTGGCAAAGAAACCGTCAAGGGTGGATTAAAAAAACATTCTACAAAAGGCCGTCAAACCTGCCATGTTGCAAATGACTGGCTAAAGACAAGTGACTGCGCTTTTTATAGGCGGGAAACTGGAAAAAGGGCTTTGGATTGGATAAAAAAGATCTCGTGGTATTTATTTTTTTAAACTTTAATTAATTCAACTTAAATCCATTCACTCTAACATATTGTCATTCATAAATCCTAAACATGTTTCGCCATCTTCAAAAGACAAACAAGGAAAATGGTGATGGGCCCAAGCATGGACTAAACGATCGTTTTCGGTCAGATTAGATTGGAACACCGATAAAGCATGGGGTGACGGTACGTGGAATTTATGCCACAAGTAAAAGAAACAATAATGCCCGCAGACAGCACTTTGATTTCCTTGAATCCTCCGGGTATTGTGACGTAAGGGTCCTTGACGCCTCGCAAAGTCGGCAAAGTCTTGGCCATACACTTCTGGGGAACATCCAAACGAGTCGAAGAAATCACAATGGTCTTTTTCGCATACAAAAACTGTCCAATGTTTTCCAGGCTGGCCTGCGTCGTCGGTATTCACAACGTACGCTGAGGGATAGCGTGTTGGCTGTAAGGTTTGTAGTTGATTTCTGGCTAACACGCCTGCAAATTGTTCAGGGATGTGGCAGGCCAATCCTTCCTCCAACTGTGAAGTATACAGAGGTTTACCAATCCACCAGCACTTGGCGGTTGACGTAGATTTCCAAGACATTATCGTATTCG